TAATAATGTTTTTGGTTGTTTTTTATTGTTGCGGGAAAGCTGGTTTTTCAGAAAATCGATCTTTGAAGGCCTAGCAGCAGTATTCATGGTGATATTCGGAATCAGCATCGTCGACTACCTATAGTCCACTCGGTTTCGTTGAAAAAGCGATTTATCAGTTGGGGTACCTCCCTCGTGAGAATTGATTCCAGTAAAATTGATCAACTACATAAGATTTTGAGTCAGTATAGCTATTGGTGATTGAGTTCAATCTGTTTTAATTTTTTGTTTGGAGATTCATGTGTTTGCGGTATAATTTGTGCTAAAAAAGAGGTCGAAATAAGTTTTGCAAAAATCAATATATCGACTTTCTCCAAGTCAATGTCAGGTTGAACCAGGTTTTTATTTATCAGATCTGAATAATGAGAAATCGTACTATAAACAGAAAAATACTTGTACCAGTAATATTACACATAAAAATAACTATATACAAAAAAAAGTCAATATACAATTGAGTATTCATTGTTTGGCAGCTTTGTGATCGTTGGGTAGTTTGTTAATATTTTTGATATTCAGAAAATTATTGTCTAAAACAAAAATAAAACAGCAGAGTAATATAGCATCCTGGTATTTAAACAATTCCACACTAAATTGACATATATAAAAGACAAACTAATTAGTTCTCTTTAATTAGTTTTTTAACAGCCTCTTGCATATTTTCACTTTCTTGTTTCAATTGTTCAGCTAAATTTCGCAATTGATCCGATGTATCATGTTTTTCACCATTACTTAACGCTTTTGCCGATTTTTGCAGGTCAATAACATGGATGGGAGCTGTGACGATACCTATGAAGGAAGAATAATTTCTGATTTATACGTCATCGAATGATTATATGATCTCACCGGCCGCGACTGATGCTTCGAGGGTGATTACTTTTACTATTAGACTTGTTGCTGCAATTCGAACAACAGTGTATGTTATTTGTTTATTACCAATAGCTACAAAATTGTTTGTAATTTCTAACGTTGTTTTTCTATTAGAGAAATATTCATTTTGTTCAATATTTATTAAATTTTCAATGTGCTCTTTTATTTGTGACACTTTTTCTTCATCATTAGCACATTTATCAGATAATTCCTGTAATTTGTTTTTCGTAATTACTGCTTCGGTAACCGTGGCACCGACCGCTGCCATACCACCCGTCGCTATTACCCCCGCACTACTAGCAACTATAGCTCCAGTAGCCAATAAACTCAAGCCACCTGTCAGCACACTAAATAGAATACCAGCAGTTCCAACAACCGTGCCTAAGACAGCTGCTCCACTACCAACTGTTTTAGCTATATGTACATTTTTATGGTGAGAATCTAAATTATCAGCGAGTTGCTGAATATATGAAATCAAATCCGCGCGTTTATCAACAAATTCTTTTACTAAAGTATTTAATTCTTGATAGTCAGTCATATCTAAAATAACGACAGACAAAGGGAGTTATCGCAAATGTGACATATAATTCAGTTACAGATTTGAAGAACAAAAACACTATTTCTGAAATGATTCTCTAACATGTTGTAAAAGGCAACATAATGAAAATTGGGTTTTATCCTAGCCGTCGTCTTACTTTGACTACTCTTGAATCTAGTCCTTCCAGTCTACATTGATAAGGCAAAATCCTTATCTCAAAACCGTTCTAATTCAATTTTTAGTTATAGCAAATTTTACAACAATGGCGCGTTTTTAAAACATTATCTAAATGGCATTTGTAAATCACTGCACACGACAAACAACAGCGACGAAGAATCCAGTGAATTCTTATCGTCGCCATGAAATATCATCGGATGATCTATCATCGTCAGTTAAATCATCAACAGATGATGATGAATCGTGCATTGATCTTGATACAACATTAAAATTAGTTTTCGCTGTCTATACTCATCCTGTTCATAGGGAAAAACTAAAGCACATATTAACAAAAATAAAACAAAATCGGCAATATAAGCATATTATTATTCTTGCAAATGCATTTAGACTAGTATATTTATTGCGAACTCTTATTGATCATCTCTATGATGAACAAATTAATTTGATTGACAGACGCTATATTCATCCTGTTGATAACTCAAAGATTGTGGCCACTTTACAAACATTTGCTTTTGATCCATCTATTATTCACCATTTTTGTCACACAATTGATAATTTACAATGCCAGATAAAGCAACATATTCACGTTAGAAAATTAAACAATAAGAAATATACTGAAATAAAACAGTCACGAAATAAAAAGGGCAAATTATTTCGTAGGTATCAAAACTTGTTAGTTTCAACTCTTGTTTAATGCTATTGAAAGGTTGCAACCAATCATCTAAAGTAATTTTTGACATTTGCGTTAAATAGTTCACTACAACACAGAATTAGAACGATGGATATTAATTTGCCTTTTATGATTTCATTTTAGGAACAAGACATATTAGTCGAAAAGGTCGGAAAACTTACTCGATTACAACAGATGAAATTTTATCGTCTGATGCAATGGAATCATCGTCACAAAAATTATTCGAAAATAAATTAACACAAACAGTTGAAGACAAAACTGTTGAAACACAACATAATATTAAAAAAAATTCGTTTTATTTAAAACCTGACTACGTTCAACAGAATATTCAATCTAAAAACAATAACTATTATGATCTTGAAAACAACGGTAAATCAACAATTTCTTCAGCAAAAATCCTATGTCCCTCATGCAAACAACAATTAATATCAAGTATTATCACGCCAAATCTAAAGCAAGAATGTGCTAAAAATTTCATAATGCCATTACGACATGAAAATAGTCGATTATCGAATAATAATAGTGGTGAAAAATCAATGCACTTTCGTCCGATTTCTCCTCAGCCATTACAACAACCATCAAGTCAACGATTTTGGATTTCTCAATGGAATAATTTGTTTAATTATGTTCAAAATGAAGATGAAACGATAAGTGTTAATCAGTGTTCATCAAACAAAAAATCAACAAAACAACGCAAAAGTCAAATGTTATTTGTAGATAATTGTACTTCATCGTGTGAATTAGATAGAGCCGAATTATTAGAAAATAACCATAGGACTCAACAAACGAAAAAATGTCAGATTAAACGACAAAATACAAATAGAACGATCAACATAGAAAAACACTAGTCAACGTAAAGAGTTGGAAAAATCAGCGATATTTCGTAATAAAAAAAAACTGAGTTATTGTGAGATACTGTCGAAAAGATAGAATAGACATTTTTATTCTCCGTCATTACATTGTAAGAAGAAAGTAATCTTTGAATATAATTATTTGCTTATTTTATAAATTTTTAAATAAACTGGTAAAGAAATAGAGATATATACCAAACAAACAAAGATTTATTAGCGAGAGAGAAAACAGTTACACACAGTAAAAAAAAAGAGAAGAAAACGGCTTGTCGAAGCGTGACGCTGTGACATTTTTAACACAGTAGTTTGAGCTTTTCTAAAAAAGCTCGTCGTGACGCTGTGACACACCTTTTTTCCAACAAAGTTTGGAGCACTAAACATTGCTCAAAGGATTTCATTTTCACATCGGACTTAGTTTTAGGCATCTAATATAGACTAACGTGAAAATAAAGCTGAAAAAATGTTTTCACTTTCTTAGAATTGTGTGAACTTCAAAAGAAACATACCATCTTGTAGAGAATTGAATTCTCTATCGATTAGTGTGGCCTTCAAGGGGGTAAAAGCACCACTTCACCACTTCATTTCACTTCACTTCACTTCACTGCTGAAACGGCGCCCCTGATGGGGGAGAGAAGCAAAGGAGGGAAAGTACCATTTCACCACTTCCGCTTAACTTGAAGTGAACTTGAAGTGATTTTTTATTGTTTCGACCGTTTCAGCAGCGTTTTACCTAGATGAAGTGAAGTGAAATGAAGTGGTGCTTTTACCCCCTTGGTGGCCTTCCATTTTTATTAGGAAAAGTGTCTAGGTGAGAAAATTGAAAATAGTTTTCAAAAAATGTAAAACTGAATTTTTGGTGCCAAAATTTAACTTTTAAAACAAAATAATTTAAGATTCATAATCAACACCAAAAACTGCATCTAGTGTTATGCTTCTTCCAGTTCTACTCTAAAATAATTTTTTCAAAAACTAAAAAAAAAGAAAAACAACGAAGTTTCGAGTTACGTGGACAAGCCGAAAAGCTCTATCTTATTTAAATAAATAATGAAATTAGACATAGCTGCATCAATTATTATATTAATTCAAAAATGGTTGCCCTTAAAAAAAAGTGGATACAAAAGAATCAACAGATGATGGCTGTTTAAAGTTGCGAATGGACCTACCTACCTTATTTTTTGCACATAAAATCTTTTGCCATAAGTAATAAAAAGAATTTTTATTCAATCTTAAGTATTCCACGTATGTTTGATTTCTAAAATTCATGTGAGGTCTTTCATCAACAGGATACCAGTTGTCTCTCAGACATCATCTATAAATTAAGTAATAAATGTTTATCTTACGTTTCTTGCGCTTATACCACCAGTAAGGCAATATATGGCTGGATAGCTCTTGAAATTCTCTGCAATATGTATATAGATGACCTTTCACTGTATTATCTTGATGATAATAAGTTACGCTATAATAATTCTATATACACAATATGATAGATAGTTTCCACTGGTGTAATGCTTGTTTTCGTTGAACAAAAACACAAATTTTTTCTACATATATAAAATTTGCTATATAACTGATATATTAACAATTATTCCAAGGTCATTGGACACATCCATTTTAGACATTTTCTGCAAACAAAAGTCAGACAAGACGTATTTTGATGTATTACATACACAGACGTTAATAAAATGAAAATGAAAAAATACTGTTTACTTTACCACTTTGTATGGTCACTACCTTTTTGTCATATTCAGATTGGGTAAAAAACAATATTCAAAACAGAAAATACGTATATGCTTACTTTTCAATTGATGTACAAAAAAAAGTTACATACTATGAAAAAAACAGCAACGGGATAATCTGAATGAGTAATGGAAAGGTTTCGATTAATTCTTAATCCAATGCAATTAAACAAGTGAAAGTATTAAAATGAACAATAAATAACATACGGTGAATTTGAACTCTATACTTCCAGTAAATAAAAATAAATTTATTTTCTTTTTTTCAATTCTTCGAATCTTCTTGCTAAATCATCGAAACCTGGATCATCCGATTGTCCAGTCGTATTTGATGAATCATTCGATGGTATTTGTGGAAAATTATTAACAACTGGTGCATCGTTGTATTTTTGATTTTGATAACCAAATCCTGGCATCATATTCGATGGTGGATACATTGCACCACCACTTGATGAGTTTATTGGTGGCGGTGGTTGACCAAAATTAATATTTGGATATTGTGATGATGGTGGTGGAGGTGGATGAGACTTAAATAAGCAGAACATATAAATGTCTATTTAATTATATTTAAACATCAAAAATAAAACTCGAAAGTGTAAATAATTTTTTTACAAATTTTATAGTGTAAAAAAAACATAAAATAAGTAAGCAGGTGTCAAATATACCTTTGAAATATCGTCAAGATCATTCAGCTGCCTTAAATTGATCTAAAAATTAAAATAATTGTGTTTCGATTTTTTTGTAGCATGCAAGCGTTAAGCAATTAGTGACTGAGGCAATAAGCAATAGATCGACAATACAACTCATGAAGAAAAAGCAGTAGTATAGAGGGTTAATCTTGTTCCACTATTCAAATGGCTAAATACAACATCCAGAATTTGCAGTTAAAAATGATGATTTAGTATTTACGTGTATAAGTAAATTATTTAGACTACATCTAAACTGGTTGTAGTTTTGAAAATGTAAACATATAAAATATTGGACAAAAGTTTAAGACATTTGTCAGTAAAATCATATGATCCAATAGAGAATTTTTTGTTTTGGAAAGTGTAGCCCAAAATTTTCTTGACCAATTAACAAGAAAATTAAAAAAAGAAAGAAAACTAGCGTAGATTTTTGTTCGACAATCTTTTTTTATAAATCTGGATCAATAAGACTTTTTAATGTTTTATAGTTATATCAAAGGTCTTCATGTGTAATGTAAAAGATTTTTTTGAACAATTAAACAAGAAAAATAATCAAAAAATAAAAAGTATCATAAACTTTGTCCGACACTTTGCATCTGACATTACACTAGAGTGTCCAATGCATACATGATAAACGTATTTATCTTTTAAATATATTGTCAAATTATGTTCAACTGACGGTTTATGATGAGAATATTTAGAATCAGAATTATTCTGATTAAAAACTAATTGTATTTTTGTCATATTGTTGTTAATACTAAATTCTCGTGTGAAACTAGAAAGTGAGGTGGTTCTTTTTCATGTTGATTAATAAATTCCCACACCGCTAATCTTTAAAAACAGTCTAAATGAACAGAGTAAAGGAATATTATACCCTTTCCCTCTCCTCCCTTAAACACACATATCATGCATAAATTTTCTCACAAAAAAAAAAACAAGGAAAAAAGACAATACTTGATAATAACAAATTTTGGCTGATTAAGAACACTTACTGAAGAATATGTTGGTGGGGGCTTTTCAAACTATAAAAAATTAGTTATTTTTTATATCACACAGTGTTGACCACTGAGAGAAGAAATTCTATTATAGCAAATCCATTTATCTTACTTGAGGTGCACTAGGCGTGGATTGTGGAATGTTTGGAAAAACAAGACCACCAGTAATCCCACTGCCTCCACCACTAAATGATGATCCATCGTTTGGTGGTGGCGGATATTTTTTTTCATCTGATGGTGGTGGCTGTTGAACATAACGTTGACCAATAGCCCAAAATTCATCTTGTGCCATTACGATTGGATCTGGTTCAAATGCAACATTGTGACTACGAGTTATTTCTATTAAATATTTTTCAATCAATAATTTTGGTATTATATCACAACTTAAACATCGTACTAGATCAACATCAACGACGTCAATTTTATTCATTTCACACATTGACACGTACTCCGGAGTAAAATGTCGTTTAAATATTGCCGTTATTTGTGCTAATTCCGGTATATCTTGTTGTAAAAATGGGGATGCCCATAATATATTAGCTAATGGTTTTTCAACAGCAGGATCGACTAGGAGTAGAATAGAAAACAATTCTATTAGTAATCTCGCTACTATTTCGGATCATATAAATAACATACTTGAACCAGATTTACTAGAACAGAAATAAATAATCAGTTATTACAAGATAAATGTCATACATCAACTAGTATGATGAAAAAGTTTCAATTTTTTACGGGTGAAATATGTCATACTACATTCAAGATGATAACCTAACGTTAGTAAAATTAATTTTCAGACTATTTTGTCCAAATAATTTAAACGTTAATATAAGATCGCTGAAGGACGAGTTTATCAGCATAGACGGGATTTTTGAAAAAGTCAACAAAATGGATTGCCTAAACATAATAATATTTTCAAATTTTTAGATATTCTCTTAGTTTACAATCAAGTTCTTCATGCTTTCTAGCTTGACGCACGAATGCAACCGACGTTTTTTCGCGAACGAAACTAAAAAGTTTTTGAAATATCTATATTTTGAGCAAAATTCGAAACTCTAAATTTTGAACGAAGGCAAAATAAACTTTGATTTTAGTTTGATTAGATCACGCATGTATTTTAAACTATCTCATTCCATTACAGATTCAAAAATACAGTCAAATAGTATAGAAAAAATACGTCAAGCCGACTTCCGTAGGCTAGTACGTCATTTTTATGGTCAATAAAACTGCAGTTTTTGAATGAATGAAAAAATTATAGAACGAATAATTCTTGCAGCGGCTACTTTTAACTGAAGTTATTCCAGGGGGAAAAAAGCACTTTTTTTTGTATAGCACTGGCCGGTCCTCACAGGACTTTTCCCACTAATTACTGCTTTGTTTCACTTGGATTATTCGCAGATAACTTCTAACATTCTGGTGATAAATCAACTTCTTTTTGTGTCTGACAATCTAATAATTATTGTACTTGTAAAAAATAAAAAATTTCGTCTGAGAACATCTTTTCGATATCAAATCGTACATAACTATATTATTTTGTGAATGACAGTAAAAAGTCATCATGACTTTTACAAGGTCAAATAAAAATAACGTTCACTTTAGTCCAAATATGACGGTATTTCATGTTAAATGGGATGATTTTAAATCATTCTCATAAATGTATGAGAACATATTTAACATTATACATGTAAAACTATATTGAGATGGATTGAAAGAGGGGTTCTATAAACTTCATTTCAGTCGTAGTGTATTAACTTATCTAACATCTAACTTACGGTCGATCTTTGATCAAACCAATTCTCATAAGTAAAATATCAATGTAAGCATCAATTTTTTCCATTGCTTCAATTTTATAATCTTCTCGAACAATATGCTCAGTGGCTAGAAAGGAAATAAATACATTCATAATTATAGTTAAAATTCAAACAGATGTTAAAACCTACCAATGCGAGCACGTGGAACTTTATTTATTCGAACAAGTTCGGCGACACCAGCTCTTTCTTTAGCTATCTGTTCCGTTTTTTTCTTTTCTCTAACATCTAATCGTGACCGTGCTATTTGCATAACGGTCTTTAAATCCCTAAGCCATTTTTCATTCGGCATATTTATTTACAATTCGTCGATAAAACAACCGTTAATTTACACAAACTAAATGGCAAATAAATCTAGAAGAATAAACAAAAATTGAAATGCATTTCTACTCCAACTACTAAGAAGTTCACAAATCACAAAAAATGTTATGTTTTAATGCAAGATTTAAGAACATACAAATGGACTTTTTTCGATTGAATGTAACACATAATCTCCAAATTCTAAAAACAGATACAACAACGAAATCAAAGCGTCAACTTTCGAGTGTATATTATTCTGCGAAAACGATGAATGAATGCTTATCGGAGAACAACATGACTATTAGAAGGAGCTGTGGCTCTGTTAATAATTGTTGTCAATGTTTCTATTGCACACCATAAACCGAAAGTTGGATTAATAATTTTTAAACTCAGTTCAACTCTTTCAATTACAAACCGAATAATTTTGACTATTATACAGGTAAGATCGTGGAAAAAATTGTAATACAATGTCCAATTTGCTTGAGTCTACTTGGTCAAAGCAGAGCAAGTCACCCCTCGAAATTTTTTCCTCCAAGTCAAATCAAGTCTGGTTAAAATTAGGCAGAACATAAAATTTGCTAACACCTTTTGACTGAGAGAGTTTTTATAGCCTCAGAAACTCTCTTTCATGGTAGAAAAGGTCTAATTTAAACGAAAATCTCTTCCTAGAAATGACTTGACAAAAATTTCTCAACAACACTGATTGATGAAAAATATAGGGATCGAACAATTGGACGCAAATCCGGTATATAACGGACAACAAAGCGACGAAATGTTTTCAAATAAACACATACCGATAACAGATCGCCACCAAAGGGAATTCAATCTTGATTTGTGTTTATAAATAACGATACAGGTAAAACTATTAATTTTATAAATATAATTGCACTCCTAGATTGTATTGATATTATATTAGTCACGAAAAGAGAAAGTCATAAAGGTCCTCGACCTCTAATAATAATGACTCAAGCCAATGAAAGCGTAACGACAATTAGACAACAGAAAACTAGAGTAATGACAGAAAAAAATAAACAAAGTAAAGAAAAAGAAGAATATCTTGTTAATTCATATAAGAGAGAGACAGAAAGAACTGTGTCAAAAATTCTACAATATAATAAACTATACTTTTCACATTAACTCCTCTATGTCTCTCTCCAGCTCCCTTGCTACGAGAAATCAGAAGAGCTTAACAGAATATCCTATTATATAAATCTAATACTAGAAGAATTTTTGACGTACGCAATATCAATATAGAAACAGCAAAGATATGAAGCCCTATTTCTATGGACCAACAGAACAGCCAAGAAATGACGCACCGATGAAATAATACTTTTAGTATCTTAGAACTTTCTCCTTAATATCAATATTTCAGTCCTGTAGATACAAAAGCTCGGAGCTCTTTTATATTTACAGTTATTAGTGGAGATCCATAAGTCAACTCGGATTGGTCCAGACGCAAAATTAGACGCTGGGAACATTAGTCATCAATCACGACTATATATACACTGGATTATCTTAGGCCATGCACTTTAAAAATGTTTTACACTTCGAATGTAACAAAATTACGGATGACACCTAGTAAACATCGTCCCAAATGAACGCCCAAGATGGGGCATACCATGCTACATCCGTGTTCGTATTATATTTGGGCTATCTTTTTACGCACTTAAAATGTGGTACTGTAATTCTATTGGATCTATGTTTTACCAACTCATCACGAGTAATAGCGTTCTTATAATACACTTGACTTAACCATGCTTCAAGTGTGGGACGGCTATGCTTTACGGGTGAAAATATACGTTACACATATTCTTTACAAGTGAAGGCACAAGACAACGTTGGTTTACAGATGCTTCAAAACAGTTGTTGTAAAACCCGTCTTTTTAGAACAGATTCAGCAGTAGTTAGAACTCATTAAATGGTTATTATATCTACTTTTCTGCCTATTAATCAATCAATCATTTGCCAACTTTTCCTGCTTCTGGCACCGTAAGATCTTTTCACTTACCAAAGACCAAAAGTTAAACTGAAAAACCCAAAACGAAAAATAGAAAATATTATTTATCATTCGATAAATAAAAATAAAAATAAAAACGGAAAAATTAACTCAGGCTTAGATAAGAAATCTCTCAATAAAAATGATGACTAATTTTATTATAATTTAAGTATTCGTTAAACCCTTTGATATTTGTCTAAATAACTGAAATAGTTGATGTAACTCAGACTATAAAAAAAACAGTGACTAGAAGATAGACCTTCAACGTAGAACAAAAGAAACAAGATGACGTCTATCATCTAACGATTAAAGCGTAGTAATAAAAAAGTATACATTTGAAGTATGAAAGTTACATGCTTGAGGCATGTCAAAACTGTTTCGCACTTGAAGCGTAGTACGGATGCCGTACTTCATGCATAGTGTTTCCAGTGCAAATAAAATGTAAAATAAGTGTAAAATTCAACGGATAACGTGTAGCATTATCATGCTTCATGTGCAGTAAAAATTCGCAAGTATGGTCGTCCTATACCGCATCCGTAGAATTTTACACTTGATCCGTATGTCTTTGGGACAGCACCGTAAAAAAGCTACACGCTTTAACCGTACTACTCTGATGATTTAAACGTCAAAATCTGATTTTTTGAAGAGATCTCTTGTTTTTGAAATAGATACATTTTTCAATTCACAGTGTTGCCTCATCTTTCCCAGAATAATGTATTTATCTCAAAAACGACAAATTTTTTGAAAAACATCGAGAACGACAAAGTTTCTAATTAGAATATCTATTTAATTTAAAATATTAAATACTTATCGCTTATTTCTCGATATTATTGTTTTAGATGAAGTTTGGAGTAAACAATCGAGCGTTTCATATTGATACATATGATTATAATGAGATTTTTATCTAGAATTAAGAGAGAAATGAAATTAACAATGCTTCCACTCGTTGAATATAGCAGTGCATCTTTACGGACGAATATTCTGTGTAGTGTAAAATACCTTTTTTTGCTTTCTCTTAGTCGTTTTTTATTCTGTTTTGTATGATGTTTGTTATATTTTTAAAACTAAAACATTATTTATATTTTTTCCTGTAATATTTGTTTATTATTTTTTTACTTGTTCTGTCTTTTTTATATAAAAGTTATATTTACAACAGTAACGTTGTTATAATAAAAATACAGAAGTTTTTTATACTATGATTTGTTTGTAAATCGGGCCTTGCAAAAATATCTGCGCAGAAGCTTCTAAAATCACGTCTGAACTTGTTATAAAGGAACCGGTGGTTTCTTCACATCTTACCTTGTGACAACTTCTGATGTTACTTTTTTGGCTTGTGTACCCTGATAACCAGCAATCTGACAGGTTGCTATACTTTCTAAGGCACCGCGAACTAATCCGAGATTTCCAAAATGTGTAAAACGATCATCCCGACTTGACGATCCAGGTGATAGATTCCTCTGTTTTGCATCTAATTTCTTTGAACATTTCGATAAAAAACTAATTTAGTATTCATTGTGTGACTAACAACCTTCCTTGAGGCAGTATACGACACGTTGCTTCGGCTGCTAAATTTTTATGTATTTTCATTGAAAAATGCTATTCTAGTTCCAATCTTTGCTTCTATGGAGCTAAAAACTTCAGCATAAAAGAAAAAATAATTCATTTTAAACAGCCGGCCGATAAGAAAAACTCGACGTTTAAACGCGCAACCTGTAGGTTTAAGCGTCCGGTTTGTTTATTCAGTTGCAGATGACTCATCCAACCTGACGGTTTTTTTCGGTCAGATTGCACAACCTAACGGAAAAAGCGTTAAAAATCGTCATTTTGAATTTTGTTTTTTTAAAGAATGACTCACAACCTGACAGTTTAAGAGTCAGATTTTATCTGACGATTAAACCGTCGGATTGAAACAGTTAAAACGTGCGTTTTTTTTACATTGTAGACTGAACATGGCCTGATCGACGCTATGGGAGTTAACTCCTTATTAAGTGGTCTGATTGGAGTTGCTAAGAAGCAACACGAATCAAATTTCTTAACCCAGACTTAGCTCTCATAGTATCGACATAACGTTGAAAGAAGTTACATACCAATAACTCCTGCCATTAGCAGGAAACTTCTGTATTGGTTAAAAAGTAGCTGCCAACAGAAAAAACTGGAGGAGGATGCAAAATGGTAGCCGACTACTTTTTAAAACGTTAAAAATTGTTATTTTATTATTAAAATCGGTGCCAAAACATATCCTGAAGGTCACCTTAAACACAAAATCCTACGCGCTACTAGAATCCGAAGTTTTTCTGAGACAGAAACTAAAATTTTTTGAGATATCCTCATTTTGAGAAGCAGTCAAGGAATCTTACAATTCGATTTTTGACTTAACAAAGATAGACTTCGATTCAGTTTTGATTTCGTTGAATCGATTATGAAAAACTGCACATTCTCGCGAACCTTCCAGTAATTTCAGTATTTTGTTCACCGACTTTTTTTTCAGAACCTGAAATTTCATGAAACTATTTTGAAACAATATTTTGTCCTCAAAAAGTACATCAACTTGTTCAGTTCTTTACACTCTTCTGACCAAAATACAGCCAGGTAGTGCGAAAAAAACGATCCAACTTGTAGTGAGATTCCGTCTTCGCCTTTAGATTAGTTTAAATTTCGGATCTTATCCGATGGGGCCCTTTACATTGGCCATGTTACAGTTTTACGAATCAGTTGTTCCATTACCGACACACTGTAAACAAATAACAGGAAATCCATTGAAATTCACGGTGAAAACGTTGCTTTTCTGGCAATTAAACAACTTTCCCATTATTTTTGTCTTTAATTTTACATCACAATCGGAGATTTTACTTCGTTTTGATCTCACATTCTTTCCGTTAAACGACTTCAACAATCTTTGTACATTTTGTCGGTTGTTTATAAAAACAAACAAGTAAATTTATAATCATTTTTTCGGTATTAAACCATTTATCATGAACAAAAATCGTTGTTATCCGAAGAGGGATTAGTTCAAATATATTGTCGAGCATACTCTAGGGTTTTCCGTATAAATTAAATGTGTTTAATTACATATAATTCAATGCAATAGAGTCAGCTTCTCAAACTGAAGAAAAACGTAACCCCTTAGTGAATTAATTGTTTGATGTGATAGTAGATTACTACTAGTAATCCATGTTATCAAAAGCACCTAAATTTTGCCGATTTGTCGTCATAGAAACACTGCAGAAAACTCCTGATTAATCGAAAAAGAGAGACGATTTTGATAACGTGGGGAGCAACGAGCGTATAAAACACCTTTTTGTAGTTTGATTGAGTTAGTTCGTTGGGCGCCTTTTATATTTCATAAAACAATCAATTTCAGTTACAAATTACTTTTAGGCTTAATTTGTGTACTATGAAAGGGTTAGTTTTTGTTTGGTTATGTCTGGAGTGGGAATGAACGAGAAAAGAGTTTGATCACCTGACTACGAACATCCCACTTTTACCATTTACTCTTTTGTATAGTACTGTTCTGGAGAAACTAACGGTATAAAAACGGTCACAAAAACATGTACTATCATCTGTTTCTTGTGACTGACTATATATGGGTTTTCTCAACGTTTTTCTGTGACCTGTCTTGATCAGCCAGTCGTAAAATTAAGGGAATGTCGAATGAGTTCCCTAATTTACTTCTCTCTGATATTCTAGTCTTAAATTAATCAGTCGTCTTTGTAAAAGAAAAATATGTTTGTTCTCACTCCTAACCTGTTGAGATCAAATAATTCTTTATTTTGTAGAAAATGAGTTTTTTTTATAATAGCAATGATAGTTATCGCTCGAGTATGGACGATAGCAAAGAAAAGGGATCTTTGAAACCGATTGAACACAATCTAGATGGAAATTATTGCATATCTAAATGATGCTAAACAAATTGAAACAAAAAATATAAATTGTTCACAATTAGTATTTTGGATAACTAAAAATTATTTTGAAGCAAGGGAAACTTCATTTTCACCAAAATGCAGTTCACAACCAAGTATAAACACACACAGTCAAATAATACCCCGCCAAATAAACAACAACAGTGAAGTGTATTCAATCCAACACCAATCTAATGTCAAAAACAAATAATATAGATATTTACAGAGCAAATTAGAATCAGTGATGCTTGTGATGGAAAAAGATACATTACGTATGTAGCATAAAATAGTTCATTTTTAGCAATATTGTTGTATCAAGTGAAATTGTACATTAGAGAATTAAACAAACTGAAAACGCTCAGAACATTCATTACTGATCGGAATTCTAGACTAAATGCAGTACAGTTTTCTATTGAAAACAATATTATTTTGATGTGTATATCTTACAATTGCGTTGACAGTTTAATAAAGTTGCTTTAATATAAACGAGTTTAATTCATATTGATCTTCTTACGCAAATATGTTTATTTCTTTCCTTTTTTTTGTAGATGATCTTAATTTTGACGTTTATCGATTAGAAAATCCAGCATTGGATTTATAACTATGAATTAGAGAGACAAAAGTGAATAATTAATGACAAACTGATGGAAAAAGACTGGAAATTTGAATACATGTATCAGTAAACAAAATAAAAAAGATGGAAAAATAGTCTCTTATCGTTTTTAATAGTTGTCAGTATCGACTTTAATGGTATATTTTTTTGTTTTCAGTTTATTCTGTAATACATTTTCGTCATCGAAAAATACAATGATGTTTAAAACATTACATAGTTTTTTTCTTTCCACTGTGTATCGGCTTTTGTTCAAACAATTCAGTTGCAGCTATAGTATTTCACGAGGGATGAATATTTCAATGCATGATAGAAAAAAGATTTTTGTACGCAGAATCATACACATTTGACTGACACCAGATAATTCTTTATTTTGTAGAAAATGATTTTTTTTTTATAATAACAATAATAGTTATTATCGCTCGAGTATGAACGATAGCAAAGAAAAGGGATCTTTGAAACCGATTCAACATAATCTAGATGGAAATTATTGCATACCTATAATGATCCTTACTACAATTTTCGAAGTTGAGACGCACGATTCATAATGGGTGGTCGGTCTATAAAGAAAAAGACTCTGCATATTTTACTTATATTTTCTTCTCCTTTAGTCGCTTTTTTTTCACAAAGACCCATCTTATTCTTTATAAAATCATGTTTAATATTTTGTTACACACTGTTTTGAAAAAAGATTAGAGAGTCAATACTGTGAGACTTCAACCTCAGTTACTTTCCAACTAAGAAAACGGCGTAAAAAATAACATGGCACTATTAATCGCTTTAGTACTTTTGAGATACAAAGGCTGATTTTATATGTAGCTGATTTGAGACCGAATAAGCTTGGCTATGCGGAGTTAGTAAATAGGGTGAAAATAGGTTATTCTATTTGTTCTATTTACATATAAGAGAGCTACCATCTTTTCCAAAGATAAACAAACCTAGCCTCAAAATATTTGCTTTGAGCAGAATTATGAGAGGATTACTAAAAGAATCGAGACTGCTGCTAAAAAATGAGCACTTTTTTTGGAAAACAAAAACAAAAAAAAGATTTTGTAGCCGGTACCGATTTTATAAGACCTGAAATATAGCTAGGCGATAGAGCGTTTCAAGTGTTTCGAAACAGCTATCGTTGATTCTACATAGGTCAAAATATGAAGATGTAAAATCGAGTAAACACTTTTTTTTTCAAGTTGGAAAATAATCGAGTTTGAAATCTCACAGTATCGACTCTCTAATCTTTTTTTAAAATAGTGTGTAGCAAAATGTTGAACATGATTTTCTACAGAATAGGATGAGAATTTTTCGGAAAAAAAGCGACTAAAGGCGCAGAAAATATAAGTAAAATATGCAGTTCTTGTCCTTATAGGCTAACTGTTAGTCTAATATCTTTTTTCACTGTAAAAGAGTAGTAGGCGTTTTTTTACTTTAATTCACTCATCCTATTAGTGATTATCCAAATATATAGCGAGCATATACCTCTAGTCACTAATGATCAGCTTTCTTTATGCTATTATGTATCATTTTTTCTACTAAATTTCGAGTTCTATTTAAGACAATTTGCGTTCTATCTCAGAAATGAATGGCGAGTTTAAGGAAGTTGTTATATTCTTCCTCTGTTTTTACTAGAGCTGATGGCACGAGTCAAAGTTGTTGAACATCCGGATTGTTCGGAACGTGTTTAGTCATCCGATGTGCGTCAATTGATATTCTTGTTTTTAACTGATTCGTGTCAGTCAACAGGAAGCAGAGCTGTCATTACTGTCACATTAGAGCGCACGTATAGTTAAAAACATGTAATAAATAGAACTAAAGAAAACCTTTGATTTAATACGGTTTTGTGTCTCATTTACAGAACATCTGTACTGGATCATAGAGCTGAGACTATTTATAGAAAAAATTTGTCGAATTTTTGGTTGTTGATTAGTGAGCCACGATATTTTGACACAGTCACCGTGTTTATCAAAATTTTTATGTTGACGTGTTTATTTGTTGATTATTTGAGTTATTGGCGTCAGATTTTAGTTGTGCTGAAGGCTAATCTGATTATGTTTAACATTAAGAGAGTATGCCTGTATTCATCCAATATGGTGAACAGCTGTTATATCCGTTGACATTTTTTTTTTGGTGAGTGTATCGTTTGAAATAATATTCCATAGAGAGAAATGTGAATTGTAACCACATGTTTGAACATCACTTCGTTTATCCTTGCATACAAAAAAAAAAAATATTAACAAACAAATAATAATAATTATGATAAACAACCAAACACGATCTATCTATCTATTTCAAATGATGTGTAAATATGTGATGTTTATGTTATAGCTATGACGTTGCTTTCTTTCGTTCGCGTGTGCTAACTCTACGATTAATGGAAGTAATTGACAATGACACAGCAAATGAAAAATGTCAAATGATACTTTCTTTTTGTTTTGTTGATGTTGATCAATTTTATGATACTATACGAAAGACATGATATTAAATAGAAAATATGATACAGGTTTTTAAAATGAAATAAAGTATCTGTCGAATTGAATTTTCCTACTGCAAGGATTAAAAATCTTTTCAGTAAACGATGAGTATATTAATACATTTAGTCGTTCAACGAAACATAGATTCTAAAATCATTCATTAGAAACTATTTTTCAAATAAAAAAAAATTTCAAAACTGTCAATTCTAAAACTATCGTAAAAAAAAAATTCTGAATGATTTGCGTGTATCTATGAATATTTGATAAGTACTTTTAAATAGACTAGATTCGTTAACGTTTTGAAGAATCACTTCTCAAAAAGTATCTTGTATAGTAGAGTCAGTGCTTTTAATTGATAGACACTTTGGTTCCTTACAGAAGACTGAGATGTACTCAATCCAAATATTATTCCATTATTTGTATGATGAACTATCTCATCAATCATGATTAATTCGACTCATCGTCAACTGTACTTACTTGATATCGTCATTTTCTTTTCAGATTTTGTATTTGTACTCATTTGAGAATGATTAGTTTTTCAGACTCAAAGATTGGTCAGTTATCAAGTGGATTTTTTGGTAATTGGTCAATCAAAGACAACGAAGAGACTAGTCAAATATCAACAAATATAGAGAATTACGGTAAGCTCTTTTTGTAAGAGAAAGAGGAGAATCAGCTACTATTAGCTTCGATCTCGAGTAAATTAAAAGTAATACACTAAAACTAATTAATGTTATATTTCACACAATATTTTTTCGTAACAAACTGATGATTTAAAGTTAGTGTTGTTTTGTTTTTAAAACTGAAGTGTACCAAGAGAAAAAGAAACAGAGAAAGAGGGAGAGAAGCGAACAATAGTCTAGAGACAAGCTACGTATTCGATTGAGAATATGTGTTTTGCTTTTAGCATAAGAAAAAATAAATAAATAATTGTGGTACTTCGCATTTTCTTTCGGCAATTTTGACATATATGTTCATTCAAATAATTTAACATAGTTTTATAACGAAAATGAATAAGAAGACTCGTATTAATACTTTATTTGTATTAAAATAGAGTAGGTCGTATATAGTTGTATGATTGAACTGTTATTTTAACTTTGTTAGTTTTAGCTACTTGGAATATCTTATGATTTTGAAAATTGCCTTCTCTTTTTTTTTTTTCTTTTAAAGAGAACTAATCGACGCTGTTTATAACAAGAAAAACAAAGATTTTTTGATGACAGTTCCCTAGTTGATTTTGCTTTCTTTCTTTCTCTCTCTATTTATTTACGTGAAATGAAATCGTTTGAGAGAGTAAACAAAAGAAAATCTGACAAGAGAATAAACCCACTTGATGAGAAATATTTTCATTTAGTTAATCGTCGAAATCTGTCGATTACAGTGTGTAACAAAAAAAAAAGCTGTAACGTTTTTTCGAATAAATGTACGTGCGGAATAAGTCTTCCTCCTCTTGGCAAAATGCTACAAAAGAGACAAACATTTTTTTTCTTTTTCTTTGTCATTGTACTCGGTATTTATAAGAGTTCATTGCAATAATAAAGTCTTAAGCTTAGGATGTGAGTCACTGGCTTTTCATTATTTGGATATCTTGATCCAATGCATATGGAATGAAATAATAAATGGACAAAAAACGTTATATATAGAGAGAGAGAGAGAGAGAGAGAGAGAGAAAAGAAAGGGTTATGGAGAACATTTATTGACTGTTTCTATTTGACTTGCCAAGGTTAAGACTTCTTATTGATTAAATTTCTTCGAAGAAGCACTATCATCTATTTAGAAGGTATAATTGTCGTTATTATTAGTCGAGCATGTTTCTCTAAAAACTCTGTTAAGAATGTCCTTAATCATCTTTATGCCATTACTCTACTAGTTATGATCATTTCTTTTTTCTATTATTAATTATTATATTTCTATATCTTGATATGACTGTGAACTAATTAGCCGTTTTTTTCTATTTTCATATATATGTATACACAAAAGATCTTGTACGATCATATCATAGGGAGAAAGAAAAACTATTAAATCTGATCTTAATGATGGTGTGATAGATTACAGACGGGCACCATAGAGAAGTCTGTCAGTGCTGTCAGTTATAAAATACAGCTAGAAAAAACTTTCTTTTGCATATGAAGATTCTGATATTTGACTCATCTCTTTCATTTAAAGAAAATAATCGTTATTTCTCCTTTTTTTACGTATATACAAATATTAGAGTTCTATCTCAAACAAACGGATGGTATTTCATCTAACTTTCATATTTTATCAAACACGGCAGGCTTGCTACGTTTGAAACCGTTTGTCTTTCTTGATTGTTTCTTGTCCCAGTAACCTTTGTCTACTATACTCTTCAATTGTAGGAGAACACCGAATTCTTTCTGTTGTGTTGTTGATAACGGAGAGGGAATAATAAGATGGTTATACATTTTTTTGTTTGTTCATTACTTTTTTCTCTCTCGTCTCTCGAATAGAAAGATTTATGTCTTTGAGCTAAAAGCTCATTACTCTTTTAATGTTTGTCATTGATTTCCGATTGTAGGATTCTGGAAAATTTATCTCCTGTATAATCAATCATTAATATTGTCTCGTTTGACATGTATATTGAGACATAAAAAATGTAATCAAAAATTGAGGAAAAAACGAAGCAACAGTAAAGCATCCTTCTTCATAAAAAACTGAAGTTAATCACCATCTGAACAGTAAAAATTATCCTAAAAGTTGGATGATGATTTTTTTTTTTTGCTTGACTATTGATGGAAGAAAGAATGATATTTTCGAGATGTACGTTTGCGTGTAGTGTTTTTTGCGTTAATTGAACTGTTGACGACACATGATACCACCGTCTTAACATCATTTAGAAGAGAAAACTGTGAAAATCGAAAAGTTACTATGAGTATGAGATTACGTTGGCCAACAATAACTAACTACTTTTATTAAATAGTGTGACAATTAATTTACCATTGAGACAAAAACTGAAGCCAGTAGTTTAGAAAAAAAGCCATATTGCATTGTACTTCTATAAATAACATCATTTTTATTTCAGTATGATTTTCTACCTAGTAACTAACCTATATCTAAATTTCCCACAATACCTTTATTGAACAATGGCACACGAATGTTGATCATAAATTTTTAATTATTCTTTTTCAGTTTTATGTCTTTACTATGTCAGTGTTAGAAAACAAAAAGTAGTACTTTGTATTAAAATCATGGTGTATTGTTCGTTCTGTTGTTAATGTTGATTATGATGATCAATTATGATCTATCTCATTGACGAAAAATATATATCTTTCTTCTTTAAAAAAAAAAAAATATCTTTCAATTGCTTTTTCTCTTGTAGCGCGTATACATATAGAGAATAAGCGCTGGTTTATTAATCGCTAGGGTGGAGAAGGAAAGATGCTTTCGTTGTTCTTTTTCTTTTTCTTGCGTTCTTATTTGACACTATATATAGAAGAAGAAAAAAGAATTTATATATATATATATGTATAAATTCAACAGTAACACCCTGATGAATTCGGTCGATTTCAAATGATGAGATAAAATTTTGAATATTTTATTTCTAATAATGCATATGTTTCCAATTGGACGTGTTGTTTATATGCCATTAACATCCCCAACAGCTAATACTACACCATTTTTAACTTCAATACCCACACAGACACAAATAACAGAACATCATCATCCACCATCTCATACGACAACACTGGTACCATTACATGAAACCGCTCATAACGTTAATTTAACACCATTGTACAATACTTTATTAACAAATTTGACAATGTGTCATAAATGTATGTAGATTAAACTTTTCTTCTCTTAATTTACGTAGGTTTGCATTCATAGCAATAGAATAGATACTTCTTGTATTCTTGTCTGTTAATGGTTTATGTCGAGCAAATGTAAGATAATAAACTCAAAAAAAGCGGTAAAATTTAGTACTAAAGTATTAGATATGCAACTATCTGACAGAGAGATAGAATAAAGTAGTTTTTGAATGGCCATTACATTCGCTCAATATTCATTTAGTTCCCTTATGTTGAAGTATCTCATACGAGGAAACTAAATTTGTATTTCACTTCATTAGTTGGAAGTGCTATATGACATTGGATCAGTCAGTTATCTAGGATAAAGTTAATAAATATTTTTTGTTTGCTATATTTGATAGACGTGAAAAATATGATGAAAGACCTTGTTATAGATTAACAAGTGAACTTTTACTTCTACATAATATATACTTAGTTCTACTACCATTTATCGTCTAAATTAGAATCTAGTTAGTAAAATCTTGTTCTAGAACAATGTTATAAAAAAATTGATAACCCGTTTATTATACATCACAATTTTAAGTTTAAATATAACTGTACAAATACTATTATAAGTGAGATACTTGTTAACAGATATCAGTCAGATTATTGCTAAAGATCATGAAATAGTGTGCATAATAAATGAAAATGTTAGCTAGTAGATATATATCGCAATTATGAAATTTGCTTGTTTCTTTGCCTATCAAAAAATCAAGTGTAAAAAAAGGATATTTTCTTTTGAAAAGTGGATGTTTCAAGTAGATCATAACTAATCATAAAATTTTTTGTTTTTTTCTTTTTCTTCAGGTGAACATCATATTATATAGTAAAATATATTTTCACATTTTATCGTTTGCAAAAAAAAAAAGAAAATTCATCGTAGTGTAATATATATGTATCTAGAACATTTAATTAATTTCCGCTATTTTTTTGTTGTGAAAGAAAGAAAAAACGTAGAGTTCAAATACATTTATATGTTTTTTTTTGAGATGAGAAAAAATTTAATCGAGGATGTTCCCGTTTCTTTACGCTTAATGCTTCTTCCGTTCTTGATCTTTTTAACCCTTAAAAAGAAAGAAGAAGATGATAAAAGTGTCTTTATTTGTTCAAGATAAATAGATTTTCATAAAACATCCTTTTTTTTGTGCTAGTTTAACACTTGTCTTTTGTATTGTTTGTTAATAGTTCGGAACAATAGCCTATCAATATGATTTTTTGCTTCTTATTTCACATCTCGTTAAAATAAATTGAACAACTTTAAAGAGAAAATGAGTGTTATGAAACATGTGAATAACAGAAAAAGAGATTATTTTCTTATAGTTTAAAACGATTAGTTACATGTCTATAGAGGCAATATCGACATTCGAAGTACATTATTTATATTATATGTTGTTGATATTTTCAGCTATCAGTAGAAATTTGAAGAATATTCTTGCTTGTAAAACAGCATTTTGTTTTAGTGGAGTTGTGTGTCTTTTACACATAATTTGTGAAAATTGGTTTATATTGAAAATGTCTGATCTTTTATTAGTTTTTGTTTTTTAATCAGAATCACTAAAAATATGAGCATATCCCGGAAATATAATGTAGGTTTTCTTCTTATTTTTTCATTTAAAATATTATTATCATAAGAAAAGACATAATAATTCAATTAGGTACTTTTCATTTATTTTATCAATATTTCCTACCGCACCACAAACAATCAATTTGCATCAAATAAATAGATAAAATTGAGCAAACAAACCCATGCCCCCACCCCCACTTATTCTCAACATTGACAATTCATCAAAATCCATTCTTGAACTTATTATTTTTCATTTTTTTTTTGGAGTTTATAGTTTGACTCTATTAACATTACTAGATAATAAATATTGAATAGATCGACAAATAAGAAATTCTTAGCAATTTCTGAAAATGAACGTCCATACAAAGTATTTCCAATGTTCATGACAATGACAATACTTAATTTGCATAATAATTCATTTGAAGAGAATAGAAGAATCTATGTAATTCAACTAACTTGTAAATCAAGCAGAGCGCATAATGTACATGTTTGTCTTTCGTTTATTATTCCATTTTACATTAATACATTAACTAGTATTATTTTTAGTATTAAAGCCGAAATATACTTGCGTTCATTTTATAATGGAACAGAGAAAAAAACAACTTTTTTCTCATTATTTTGTTTTAACTTTGAGTAATAGAAGAATTTTTATCACTGAAATCTGAAACTGGGTTCACGATCCTAATAACGTTCTGCTCTTACATGTAAATATGATCTATATTTGACAGAGTATATATAATATGATTTTGAATGATGTCAGAGTAAAAGGGCTTTTTTTGAGTGTTAATCCTATCAAAGCTTTGACTTTCCATTTTTCTTTTTCTCTCTTCTTTTTTTAAGTAAAAAATCAAAAACTCGTTAATCGTGCATAGAAGATAAAAATATCTTCCAAAAAATGTTTGAAGAATCGATGTGTCGCATGTGTTTTGCATACATATGCATGACATATGAGTCAGTTTTTTTATTTCACTGTTTGTGCTTGCATAAAGAATGGATATGATTTTCTGAAACTAAGATGCACAGAAAGCAAACTTGCAGTGAAATTTATTTTTGATTTTTTTTTATACACCATTCGATAGAGGAGATAGCGCTGATCACGAATATGTGTTCCTCGATTTTTTTGGACACTTGCTTCCAATCCAAAAACTCGAAATACTCGAAAGAGGTCAAAAACCTAAAGACATCATAGGTTTTTCCTTAGGTTCTAGAGCCAATATTTGCACATGATTAGATCCGTGAGATGTATCTCTACAAAGTTATATGTGCGGTTTTTTAAATTCCCTTTGGTTCTTGAGAAAAATCAGTTTTTCTAAATCAGAGGCGAAAAAGTCGGAATTCTGCTCGTAATTCCCAGTTTTCTTCATCAGCACTCAACTTTTGAGCAATAAGAATGTCATATTCGGAATCAGGATCAAAAACTGAGCCGACTGATATGTATTTCGAAATTTTTAGTTGATTTTTAGTTTTGGGTGAAAATCTGGGTAGTTTTTCAACGTGAAAATTCGAAAAAGATTAAAGTAGTCGAACAGGATATAGATACATATCAGTCGACTCAGTTTTTGATCCTGATTCCGAATATGAAATTTTTATTGCTTAAAAATTGAGTTCTGATCAAGAAAATTGAGAATTACGAACAGAATTCTGACTTTTTCCTCTCTGATTTAGAAAAACTGATTTTTTCCAACAACCAAAAAGAATTTTGAAAAACTTCATATATAACTTTATAGAGTTGCATCTTACGGATCTAACCATGTGCAAACATTGGCTCTAGAACCTAAATGAAAACCAGTGATAGGTTTTCAAAGTTGGGTAGGATTTTTGAGCTATGTGAATTGCGAAATTTTTTGGCGATAGATATTAGATTCTAAAAATGTTCTGAGACTGTTTTCCTATTCAATTTTCGATGCTGAATCAGAAAAACAAGGTTAAAATATTCCAGCTCGTAACATAATTTCAAAAAAGACCGGAAAATTTGGATTTTTGACCTCTTTCGGGTATTTCGAGCTTTTGGACCAGAAGCAAATGTCCAAAAAAATCGAGGAACACATATTCGTGATCAGCGCTATCTCCTGTATCGAATGCTGTATAAAAAAAAGTCAAAAGTAAATTTCACTGCAAGTTTGCTTTCTGTGCATCTTATAAAACAAGTTTAAGTTAAAGCACAATTTTTTTAATTCGATTTTGTAGTTCAATCTTCTTTTTTATCTTTTCACAGTCGAACATAATACATTAAAACGTTCACCATTATCCACAACATCAACAAATAGACTTAAACGATCACACGATGATTCTGATACAAATCGTCGAAAAAAACGTACAAAATTATCATCTTCATCTCCAAATAGTGATGGAACAACTTCTTCTACGACTAACACTACACCACCATCATCAAAAAATTCCTTAATGATGTTACATGAATTTAAACCAAATGTTGAATATAAATTAATATCTCAAACAGGACCATCTCATCGACCCATTTTCACCATGGTTCGTTTTATATCTTAGTTTAAAATTTATTGATATATATATATATTGATAAATAAATTAACTATTTTAGACTGTTGAAATAAATGGACAAATATTTGAAGGAATGGCTGCAACAAAAAAAGAAGCAAAACAATTAGCAGCCGAAAAAGCTCTTCGTTCATTTGTACAATTACCGTTTCCGTTAGAATCAACAAATAATAATGACAATCAAAGTGGACAAGAATATCAAAATACACAAGATGATGAGACAATATTGACAAATGTTATTGATGACAGTAATATTGATGAAATGAATATAAATGGTGTTAATGACAATATCATTGCAAATCAAAATCAACAACAATCAAATGAACCCAAAGAAATTCAAAGTGGTATGGGACCTTTGTATATACTCAATCAATTAAAACGTGATGCCAAATTTGAATTAATTAATGATAATATAATATCTAATGAAATAATGCCTAATGAAGTGAACGAATTTAAATTTTCTGTTATGATTGATGGACAAACATTTATTGGAATTGGACGAAATAAAAAATTAGCAAAAACTCGTGCAGCACAATTAGCATTAGAAAAAATGTATGGAATGTGTTTTGATAAAGAAGGTAATTAAAAATAATAATAAAATTTAATTAATTTAAAATTTATTAATTATTTTTTAGGTAGTTCATCGATTGAAAATGATACTTTACCATCAACGTTGACATATTCAGGAAAAGATTTGGCTGATAAAGTAGCAAATTGTATTCAAGAAAAATTTCAACAATTAACAATGAATGATGTTCGTTTACAACGTCGAAAAGTTTTAGCCGGTATTGTTATGACAAAAAATTTTGATTTATCAACAATGGAAATTATTTCATTAACTACTGGTACAAAATGTATTAACGGTGATAGATTAGCATTAAATGGAAAGTCATTGAATGATTGTCATGCAGAAATTGTTTCTCGTCGCTGTTTATTGCGCTATTGTTATCAACAATTAATGCTATTTTCTAATGAAACAACAAGAATAGAATCAATATTTGAATTAAAACACAATAAACAAAAATGTAGACTAAAAGATAATATACAATTTCATTTATATATTTCGACGTCTCCATGTGGTGATGGTCGATTATTTGCTCCTCAAGAACAACAACAGCAAGATTCAAGAGAAGACATGGTACCTAATGTATTATTAAATTCACAAATGAGGTATGTTACATTGCGTTAAGATGAGTAATGATAAAGGGTATTTATTATTTTTATTTTTTAGTCATCCTTTAAGAAAATCTCGAGGTTTACTTCGAACAAAAATTGAAGCTGGCGAAGGAACTATACCAGTACTTGCTAAAACAATCTATCAAAGTCTTCAAACGTGGGATGGTGTATTAGGTAGGCTAAAATTTCAAATATTATGAGAATAAAGCAAATATTAAATTTTTACTTTACACAGGTGGTGAACGCTTACTGACCATGTCTTGTTCAGATAAACTTTGTCGTTGGAATTTTATTGGTTTACAAGGTAGATAAGAGATATTGATTTCGACTGTTCAATGATTCATGTTTATGTATTAAGGTGCACTATTGAGCGTGTTGATTGAACCGATCTATTACACCAGTATCGTAATTGGAAGTTTATATCATTCCGTTCATATTAGACGAGCGTTATACGCGAGAATCGAACGTGTAAGTTAAACACTATTTACAGATTTAAAACTTGAACTCACATATTCTATCTCTAAATGTGGAACTAAAATCTGACTACTTCAAGCACTTTGTTAATTTACTACAGATCACCTGAGAACATATCATAAAACTTTAGACTTAAAAGTAATTTAGTCTTTTTTTTCTATTTTTTAGGCAGTTGAACACATTCCACAACCATTTGGTTTACGGCGTCCATTTATTTCTGGAGTCTCGTGTCCTGAAATGCGAACAACAAGTCGTGCACCAAATCATTGTTTAATATGGAATTGTGTAGATCAAACAATTGAAGTTATTGAAACCTCTACCGGTCTTCAAGCCAATAATGAACCGTCAACAGTCTCGAAAGCATCATTATTTGATCACTGGTTAAAAGCTATGAAAGCCCTTAGATCAGATATTGATGTCGTACCAAATATCTATTGTGATGCTAAAAGTTTGTGTAATGATTATCAACTAGCAAAAGCACAGGTAAATAAATGTTGTCAGAATATTGATCTTATATGCCAAAATTTCTTTTTTAGGTTAGCAAAGCATTTCAAAAAAACGGTCTTGGATTATGGATCGTAAGTATTACCATAAGATTTTCTATCGATCATTTTACTCATGTTAATGTTTTTGTTTTAAGGTAAAGCCATTTGAACAAGACGAATTTGACTTATATCCGTTAGTATCAGATCCTCCGATTAGTATGATTATGAGCGAGAATAATAATTAAATTGACAATGAAAGTTCAACATTTCTTTCTTTCTTTTTTCTACATTTAATTTTCAACTGTGATGCTAGGTGATTGTTTTGTTTAGCTATGATTTCTTTTGTATAAAGAATAATAAACTTATTTTGTAACTATATTTTCTAAAAGTAACATTACTCGTGGAATGTAACAACTATGATAGCTAATAATGTAAAATTTGTGTGATCATGTACTGATCACGCCAGAAGTTTCAACTCATTTGAATACCATAGTTTATTTTCATGAATATAGCCACAGTTTAAATTTAACATCCAATAGCTATCGTATATACTACAATAGAAATGATAAAGACCTAAAGATATGTGCTTTGAAGTCTAGTGGTTAAATAAAGTAATGGTAAGTTTGTTCTAAAAAATACATCTTAATGAATGTTTTAGTACAACGGATCTATTCAGCACGTTTACTACGTTTGTTTTCTATTGCGTTAAAACTGAAAAATATATAACTTGTGCATTAAATGTTAAGAGATGAAATTTTCAGATTATGTAGCACGATGCGTTTGAAATTAAATAATTCTCTACCGATCCTAAAAATACGTCATAATCTTATTCCGTCGGACAAACAGATGATCTATGGATATGTGCTTTAAATCTTGACTTTAACGTCTATTGCATCATCGTTAGACAAATATTACTGGTCTGATCTATAACGAAATTGATTGGATATTTTGACAAGTGCCAACCATTACAGCCTGTTATATCGAATATAACTAATACCATCATCTTGTCCTATCTTTATTTCAAATGTAACTTTATAACAAATACTGATAATATACACTGAGACAACAAACTCTTATATACAGTTTTAAAAATATTGGATTCATGATGAAAACTACCCGGCATTGGGTGAAAAATCCAGAAAAGGATATCTAAAATATTCTCGACATCTGTCAAATGTTGTCGACAAAGTGCGACGTCTGTCAGATAAAGTGACATGTATAACCCCAGGGGTAAAAAAATTGACAAAAAAACGCGTTAAATATTTCAAAACGAACGCTTTTTTTGTCATTTAAACACGTTTTTCTTCTCTATTCGTTTGAAAAGGCGATTTTCGAAATTTCACAATGCATTACTTTTGCGTTAAAACCGTACAAAAAACGCGTTTTCAAACGTTCTAGAACGCGTTTTTTGATCGTTAAAAACGGAATAAAAACGCGTAAGAACAGAAAATTTTGTTAAAGCCAAAGATGAGACTTGGCTACCCAGTGGGACTTGATCTAAAAATAGTTGAAAGTCTATAATAAAGGAAGTGCAAAACTGATGATCTGAAATCGAAAAAGAACCAAAAGAAGATGATATTTCTTCGATATTTCGACTGTGCTTATATACTTGGCTGGCTGCAAAACAAGACGGTGAATGCCCAGAGGTAAAAAAGTTGACAAAAAAACGCGTTTTTTGGCCATTTTTAACGATCATAAAAAGCGTTAAATGTTTCAAAACCAACACTAATAAAAACGTGTTTCACAACGAACGAAAACGCGCTTTTTGACCATTTTTAACGATCATAAAACGCGTTGTAACTCATTTTTTAACGAAGCTTTTTAGAGGGAAACTCGTTTTTTACCGTTAAAAACGAAAAAAATCGCGTTTTTAGTCTGTGAGTCATTTGAAAAGACGTTTTTTAGCGATTAGCGAACGATCGTTAAAAGAGCCGTTTAAACGCGTTTTTGTCGTTATACTTGGCTGACCGCAAAACAAGACGGTGAATGCTCAGAGGTAAAAAAGTTGACAAAAAAACGCGTTTGCTAACGACACGTTAAAACGCGTCTTTATATAAAATACACGCGTTTCAACGGTCATTTTAACGTCGTTAGAAAACGTCAGAAAACGGTTAGTTTAACAATCGTTAGCAAACGCTTTGTCAGAGAACGCGTTATTCTAAACTGCTGAACGAGAAAAAACACGTTTAAACTGCTCTTTTAACGATCGTTCCCTAACGCGTTCGGGAAAAACGTGTTTTTCATGCCGTTTCTAACGATTTTTTTCGCCTGGGACAACGGTTTTACTTAGGGAAGGATTTACAACCTTTACATAACACAGCATACAGACAGATCATATAACTCTAGTGAATGTACTCAAGTGTGAGTACTCAAAAAGTACTCTGCTAGAAAAACCGGACGAGTACTCATACGTACTCATACATTTTTTTACTCACTGAGTACTCACATGAGTACTCATGAGTGAGTAACAAGTACTCTGAGTACGACTTTGAGTACTCATGCTTGGGTATTGTTGAGTACTCATACCACTTTCGGCAAAATACTCATGAGTATTGTTCATCGATATTTTCATACAGAGGAGTGATCTCAG